TGTTGTTCGCCTCTCACATACACAGTGGATAACGCCACCACTAAGAGAGAAAGAGAGTAGTAATGGAATATGGGTAGAGAAATCAATGTATCGAATAATCAACCAACATATTGAACTCACGGGGTCGATAGGTAAGGGGAAGATAGAGTAGATACATGCAGAATAGGTAAATAGATTAGATAGATAGATACAACTCTCTACACCGTACACCGTATACCCTCACAGCAATCGAGGTATCGAATTCGTACCTGACTGACAGGTCAGACTCGCCGGCTAAATTCGCCCCAAACTAGGAAGGCACCCATCCATCCATCTACTACTACAGTAATACTAATATCCACCCCTCACATCCTCGGGTCCATCCACTTTTGTCACATTCAAACTAATTGATGGGATTCCTCTTGGTTATGTGATAGGTAGTGTTACTTTTATCTGGGACATACATAGCTCCCTAATTATTGTATAGAAATAGTCTACGTATCAATTCACATTCTATTGTGTGTTTGTTGGCCACTATTCTGCTAGGAAAAGACATTCAAATGAGTAACTATTTGACTGACTGATTACCTCTTGGTGTGATCTCACAGTACATCACGGATCACCGCCGGAGTTTCTCAGGCGGCTGACGGCCACGAGTTTCGACTGTCTCACACTCTCACTCACTGGCTAGACTACTAGACTATAGATTAACTACTAGTATAGCTATGGCTAGACTATTACTTTTAAGAGCACTAGTCTTTGGCTTTTTCTTCCCCCGCTTCCACCCCCGCAGTTGGTAAGGTAAGCAAGCCCGGCGAGATCCTCGCGCCATGTGGGATACGACTGGAACCAAACAGAAAGTAACTGGTTGATTTAGTGCATGAATTGGTCGTGTCTCTCTATTCGTGCCCGCTTAATCTAAACTGCAGACTGGCTCTTTGTGGCTTAAAAACATGTAAAGACACTCGGCGTGTCAAAGAAAGAGGAAAAAGAAAATAACACCACTGCTGAGGGTATATCGGATCTTTCATATGCATGTACTGCCAATTCTCATCACCCCCGGGCCATGCATGGTATCAAAGATGGTCCAAGTAAATGCAAAAAACAAAGAAGAAAAAGAAAAAAAAACATCGTCTAACCAAAAGAGCATAACAAGATGACAATGGGGTATCTCAGCCTCCGTAAACCTCTATACAAATGACCCACGGGCCTCTCGGTCTGTTCAGGCATTTTCGTTATCATCCGTTCCCAATGATTCCCGTCCCGTCTCGTGCCCCCAATTCACAAGTTCCCCCCACGCTCCTATATGCCCTTGAACCGTTTCATCCTGCTCGACTTCATCCATTTTCATCATTTTCATTCATAAACTCCATTGCATCTGGAGTCGTCGCATACGCTGCTCGTTATCACCATCTTCAACGTCACGGAAGTGTAAGCAAGATTAAGAAAGACCAAGTCTCTGCATAGGCGGGCGTGCGATGTCTGAAAAGCTGCACAATATCATCCAATGTATCATGCCACGGCGCATTTTATCTTCTTTTGCATAGTGCTCAACTGTCAATCATCCATGGATGCTCCAAAACTTCACTGATCGTCAGTCGGTTGTCCACATCTCGGTCAAGCATCCTCCGGATTAGGTCGATGCAATCCTCCGAGAAGGGCAAGAACGGAACTCGAAGAGGGTGATCCAAGATTTCGTCAACATTGTAAAAGGGATTCTCTTTGTAGACGATGGTGTAGAGTAAGATACCAAGGGCCCAAATGTCTTGCTCCTTGCCTCGATAGGATTTGCCTTGAAGAACCTCAGGTGCCGCGTAATCTTCAACAAGTCAGCTTTCTGGATTATTATATTCGGTTACAGGAGGGGATTTTTACCAATCGTGCCCACGAACACGTCAAAGGGTCCATTCTTGATATAGGCGGCACTCCCAAAATCAATCAGCTTAATCCGACCCTCCCCGTCCAAAATGACGTTCTCGTCTTTGATGTCGCGATGCACGACCAAAGCCTTCGTATGGAGATGATGAATTGCGTCCACAACCTGCTTGAAGATGTTCTGACATTCCGCCTCATCCATATTCGCTTTCAGCTCAATGTAATCGAAGAGGTCCATTCCAGGTAGCCCGTGTGGCGTCATCTCGATGTAATAATTAATATCGTCCTCGAAAAATCCTTCCATTTCCACGATGTTGGGATGCTTCAGACCGTCGCGTCGGAGATAGTTCAGAACGTGGATTTCTAACGGTACCGTTCCTAGACGACGATCGCGGGTCCATGTATCGACAAGAATCCGTTTCTTCGTAACATACTTCAGAACGACTTTCTTGGTCGGAATCTTCTTCATGCGCGCAAGCTTGACTTCTCCGTAGGCTCCTTGACCCATCTCTTCGAGGATAATGTAATCGGCAATTGTTCGTTTTTGGGGCATCTCTTTGGTACCAGCCGGTCTTACTTCGGGCACTGGCTGGACTGGTTTGTCTGTTAGCGGTTGCGAAGCTGCTTCACTCAACTGCTGGCTTAAGGTAGAGGTCGGTATGTGCGTCTCTACCGATGTCCGCTCCGAGCCAATGGCATAAGGAGTAGAAGCCGTTGTGGAAGCCAGATTCGATGCAGAAATAGAAGACGGGCTTTCTGTCCGGGACGGCGGAGAAGGGAAGCCAGCCGCGGGAGCTGCCGAGTGGATATGTCTCGAATATGTCACCCAAAGTGCGTATACAAGCTCTGTGACAGCTTCAAACTCCGAGTCGCTGTGGTCTCCTGAATTGGGATCATCTCGTGCCTTGGGGAACATTGTACCGCTCTTGGCCACACGCATCTGGACATCTACAGCAATCGAGGAGCCATCGCGATGCACGGCAGCAAGGCCAGATGGTTCTAGGAAGACCGAGGCCACATTGGATTTGCCATCGCGGAGAATAGAGAGGGTGCGCGCTCTCCGGAAGCTGGGTTCAGAGATCACCAGACCGTCAACCAGCGGTACACTCTCCTCCTCGGTGAGCACGTTCAGCAAGCCGTCGAAGCCAGGTATCAAATCATTTACGTGTAGGCCTTCAGGTCGCTCATGTCCAAACAGCGCGGACGAGAAGACGGAATTGGAGCTGACAATTTTCAAAGTCGAAGAGGACAGCACCATCATGCCTGCGACATGAGGAAAGCTCGATATTCGAAGGCATCTTGAACTGTCGCCCTTGGTGATAGTGGACGGTATGCAGATTCCTGCTGATGTGCGAGACGCAAAGTACTTCTTTTCGGTGATTTTGCTGAGGCCTTGATCGATTGGTGATGTAAGGCAGTCTGGTGGAAGATTAGGAAGCAGCTCCGTGATCCGTTCTCCAGTTTTCGCCGCACCCTGACCCCAGACTTTGTCAATATCGCCGGTGGCGTCAGCAATGTTCCAGGATTCATCGCAGCGAACGAACGCGACATTCTCCTGGATCTCCTCCATCACCCAAATCAAACCACCACGCTTTTCCATCACCCAGATGCTGGCAGAGCCTCTCTTGCCATCGCGCTTTTCGATAGGTACCACATCTCCGCACAGCAGTACACCTCGGGACTTGGTTGCCGGGTGATTCAGCTGCCTTGCGCTCGAGCCGTATCCGTCATCAGTCTGGGCCCTCCTCGGAGCCCTTGCTCGAGAAGGAGGCTTGCTGAGCAGCTGCGCTGTTACACCATTGCCCATTCCCATCGATTTCGGATTCACAGGCTTGACACGAGTCTTATCCGGCGAAGGTTGGGCCCTTACGGCAGCATCAGTGGTGGGGTCCCGCAGTTTCGACTCAACCCACTGTCTGCGGTCTTTCTGTACGACTTCGAGGATACTTAGCTTGCGGAGCTCCGCTTGTGTGACACCAAAGATGAGACACGAGATGTCATTCGCCGCCAAGATGGTCCATGGTTCATGCGACTCGGTCCTGAACACGGCTTGTGATGCGGGTGTCCACTTGCTGCTGTGGGTGTGTAGGACAGGAACCGGGAAACCATATCCTAGACTCGAGGTACTGGTAGGAGATAAGGGGTCCGTGGCGGTGAAGGGTGCTAGAGTTTCCATCAGCTTGCCCTGGGTAGTAATAGAGCCAGCCTCGGTATAAGTACGTTTTTCTATGCTTACGCGCCTGGGGTACGGCCTCGAGTCTGTCCTCAGCGGGGACGCTAGATCTTCTGATGCCTGGCCCGAGGAACGCAGGGCATCGGGCGGTCCCTGCTCCTGGACCATGTCCCTAAACTGGTTCGCGGAAAGCTGGGGTTCTGCAAATGCCCTTTCAAAGATATTGCCACTGTCCACATCCGCAGGTCCAGTCATAGGTCCGCGCGATAACCCAGCGTAGTTGTAGCGGTCATCCCTGCCCGAAACACTGGTTTTCGACAAGTAGTCCACCACGCTCTGGGTATCAGCATCTCCACCGAATCGAGCCTGAGCGCCAGCAAGCCCCGCACTGTTGCTGGTGGTCCAGCCGAAGCGGTCGCGCATGAAGTCTATTGACCTTTTCAGGATGTTATGCCGATTATTCAGTAGTTCCTCAGATTGTTGGGCAAAGGAAAACGAATGTAGCGATTCGCACGGGAAGCGGTGGAGATCTTCTAATGTGCCGAATTCTTCGGTCGATGGGAGGCGTGAGGGGTGGGCTCTGGTCGAAGAAGCGGAGCGTGGTGAAGGTGAATGGCTACGTGAGGTCATAGGTGCGAGCGATGAGGCAGACATGTTCGGAAGGGTAAAGACGCGTGATGGCTGTTGACGTATGCGATCTAGACCAGATGGACCAAGTCCATGTTCAGGATCCAGCAGAGAAGACCTGCAGAAGAGCGATAGAAAATTCCTTTTAGTTCCTGTCTGCGTGGTTTGCGCAAATGCATATACGATCCTACTGCAAGGAGAACCCCACCCATCGGCCACGTACCTGGAAAGATGATCATAGCCCGAGGAGAGTGTGTCTGCAGAGTATTTCATCGAGTCCTCAGTGTGCCCAGAGAGGCGTCTCATAAAAGGGTCCGACTCGGGCGACGCGGAAAGGGGTCCCACGGGGGACGACAATGGGCTTGGTTCACCTGTATGGCAGGAGGTCGTTAGCTTCTGTTCTGCCAACATCCCTTTGCTCCCTCGCTAGTTGTGATATCATCCGCTTCTCCTGCGCCCCTCCCGAATACACCCTTCAGCAATGTGGAATGAAGTGGCTGACTTGTTCCGAGATGCATATCCAAGTATGTGGGTAAACGGTCTGGATAAGTCGATTTGGATTCCCATAGGTTGGACAACCACTCTGGCGAAAGTTCGACACGGTCGTCGTTTCGCTCTTGCAGCTTTTCCTTCCCAGGCCGAAGCGCCTTGGTCGCCATTTGCATAAACCTATCGAGTTCGTCCTGCTCGAAGCCAACAACTCTTCCCTGCTGGATTGGTGCGCTAGGAGAAGCAGCGGAAAGGGTGCTGATCAAAGAGAACGATCACAGAAATGGGAGACTAACCATCGGGATTATAGGAAGTAGAACCCATATTTTCCCAAGTAAATGAGAGCGTAGGGGCCAGCACCGACCAGACCGATTGACAACAAGCGGTTCAAATCGGCGCAACTCGTAATGAGTTGAAAACAAAGAGGGCTAGGAAAGAATGACGGCGAGATTTATTGCTACATGGGATAACAGAACATTGACCATCCACGGCGGTTTGTTTGGCGAGACCTGCAAGTTTTCTTGTCTGTCTGCCTCCCTTGGTTATCTTATAAGGAAAACGATTTTGTTGCTCCGCTCCGGGGTCTCTTTTTCTTTCCTTTCCCTTAGTATTTTTTTTTTCTTTTTCCACTTGCAGATCGGTGCGTTGGGATAAAATCACGAGTTACTGCGAGGGGGAGAAAGATTAACCAGAACCCTCCTGCTTGTCGGGATCTCAATGCACTTAATGAGACAAACGAGACTTGCAGTGAGTCGGTCAGTCCGTGGTCGACAGTGAAGGTGGAGGAGGGAGGTTAAAAAAGGCTGTCAGCGGACTGCGGGCGGGAAGTTCGAGTGGGCAGCTGTTTCGTGAGGTCACAGGTACCATACAGTTGCGAGGGAGGCGTAGCACGCGGGGGGAGAGGAACAAGGTAGCTGGAGAAAGCCTAAGTAGTAAGGGAGTCTCTTGTTGGTGGGAATTGGTCACAGGGAGGCCCAATGGCCTGCAGATGAAGCAGATGTTGCAGTGGCGGGTGGTAGAAGGGTAAGGAGGTAAGGTCGGCGCCGGGCCTTCGAACCGACAAAAAAGTGGCCAAAGACTGGCCAAGGAAGAGGGGGAAGTTGTAATGGCCTCTCCAGAACTGGGGGAGACCCGTGAGAGGAGGATCCGATCCTCTAGAGAAAGGGATGCGGTTGTAGGGGAAGGAAAGGGAAAAAATTTGGTAGAAGCGAGTAAGTTGGGGTGGGTAAATAGTGGAGACTCGTAGTAGGGAAAGATGGATGAAGATGTTAACTTGACGGTGTTTCTTTCGCAGCGGAGGGAGGAGGGGGGGGGGGAATGAATGACGTTCTGGTTATCCCGCGGACGTAAGACTAGAAGAAGAACCAGCGGAAATGAGGTTTCAGATGATCCTTTCTCTTGCTCCCTTTTAGTAGTCTTGTCTAATGGACTGTCTAGTAAGTACCTAGGTTGGGTATTTGGGTCTTATTTGGCAGCTCCACGCACGAGGAGGGGAGCTGTCAGGGAAGAACAAAAGAAGTAATAATGGTAGTAGTGATGGTAGATCGGACTTAAAACGGGAGTATGTAAAGTCTGTCGAGAAGTTCAAGCTAGCGTTGAAAGTCAGCCAGCCTGTCAACCCGTCAATAACTTTTCTTTTTCTTTCTTTTAAATATGTTAGTTCAAGGTCAAAAAAATATCGGTGGTCCGGCACGGTCGGGGAAGTCGAAGGGAAAGGGGAGAGAGAGAGAGAGAGTAAAGCATGCAAGAAGGGCCCTCTTCCCCCCTCCCTCCTCAATACCCATCCTGGATCCATGCGAGCCATTGACAACAACCACAAACTATGGAGTCACTAATGCAGTCCATCAATCCCTTTCCCAAAAAACGCCCCCATCGGAGATACTACTTGAGTTCCTAACTTGCTTGAGTCCAACACCTTCCGTCAACTAGATTACCTAGACTACTAACTACTACTACTACTACTACGGCTTCCAAGCCATTTCTCCCAATGGAACCACCCAACCCATGCATGGTGGTGATGTAATTCCCGACGGGCTACGGACGAAACCGATCAGTTAGTATACTTTCATATGGTTCGATCCATTCTGCCAACTTCGAAAACATGCTTCTGGACTATTTCGACGTATTATTATTCTTCCGATCATTTCCTGTTCGAACGAATTTCCCCTCCCCCTCCTAGCCTAACTACTGTACGTACTACTTTTGAACTCCCCGACAGAAAGTGGATGATTCAACTTTTTGCTCGCCATCTTGGCGGCCCAAAGTAACTCGATCAGCCAGCCCCCGTTGCGGTTGTAGATCGCCGCAAGCACCGAATGATGCATTTGACTTGATTGGGGCAAACCGCACAGGGAACTACCGACCTTCGACTTCCATTAGTGATTAGAAAGAAGGCCCCGACGATCAATTGTACACGTCCGCACTAAGCTCACCGGCGGGTTCCAGACCAATTGGCGTTCGCCGTGGCTGCACAGTAAAGACACTGTTTGGAACCTTAGAAGACAGAACGTCTGCCAGTCACGCTGGCATGTGGAGGCCGCGTTGCTTCCATGGGAGATCCATGCGATCAAAGGGCCCCAGAACCGAAGATTTCGTCGACAACTTACGCAAGTCAGGTTCCTGCTTAGGCACTTGAATTCCTTGTTGCCTACAATAGTCGGGCTAGCTCCAGGCTCCCGTCCGGTCTGCTATTCCCACTTTATCCTATTTTCCTTCGTACAGTCATAATAGTCTCTTGCAGTGGTAAAATCCCTACCCGAGTTTCTAGGGTGAAGATAAACAGAAAAAAAAAAAAAAAAAAAAAAAAAAAGTTTGAGACGGACGCTATGATCAACCGGACCGGATAATACATTTGCGGCCTGTCAAGCCACTATGCAAAAGAAATAAGCAAAATCTGTAGTCCGATGCCGTCGCCTCAACAACGACGATGGGTATAACGGATCAACAAGAATGCCGGAGGCTGACTTCGAGGAAATATATATTGAGTCGCACAGAAAGCGCATCCGGACTATTCACGAGCTTTGGGTCCCCGAAGGCTCCGCAGCGCCAATCCGTCAGCCTCAGCGTCAGGCCTTCCATGCCCCTCGTCACCGTTGCCAAATAGAGTACTCGGTTTGGCTCGCATTTCTCCATGTCGGGTCTGTTCGGGCGGCACGGATGCCGGGCTAACGAAACTCGAAAACTGTCGCCCGCCCCCGAGCATCCACGAAAACTCCGAATCTGCCAGTGATGGACGTACGGCATGTCGAAGTGGCATGGATGAGGGAATCTGGCCATTGCTCGAAGCTCTACGAGTTTTCGTTTCGCATTCAACGGACGACCGTGATGACTTCGCAGACACACTAGGTTTGCGCGCCGCTGACGAGGCGTCACTTGCTTTGTCGAGCACAGTCTCAGCTTGCTCACTCGCGGGTTTAGAGGCGTCAGACAGCGATTCCTGGTCTCCCTCACCACTTTCGTTGGGACCCTGCTCCACGGTACCGGGAGGGATGGAAGAGTCTTCAAGACAGCTCTGGACTGACTGAACTTGGGTGAGCGCCTTCTTCAAGGCGTCTGTAGTCTTCTTATCGATGCCTTCTGCTCTCATCAAGTGGCTCCGGATGTCATTCAAGGCATTGCCGAGATTTTTGGCAAGTTTCCTGTTTCGTTCCTCCAGTTGTTCAACCTTCGTCTTCCATTGGACTGCAATGTCGGTGCCATGGTCCCACGGCATGCCTACAGTCGAGCTGGACGGTTCATGCCGTGCAGTCCGGGGGTAGTGCTCTGACTGAATAGATTGCATGTTTCTCTTGGCTTCACTCACCGCTCCCCGGACAGCCTTGGCTACACCCCACGCCTCTGTTCGACGCTGTATGCCCTCAGAAACGTCTTGGAAGAGCGTCTCCAGACTCTTGGGGCTGTTCCTTGCAGGTGACCTGGACGGGGAACTGCTCTCGCTTAGATCTCTTGAGACGCTCCGCAGGCGGAACTTCTTGCTGTTCATATGCTTTGGATTTGGTTGCCCAAGTCCTTTGGTGGGATCCGGCGGTCTTCCAGAATACTTGGAAATGATGAATACTCCTCGATCAGGAGTGGGGTTTTGCTCCAGGTATATCGCATCATGCACGAAGCTTAGAGGTTCGTGTGGTTGAGGGGAAGGATACCGAAGCAAAAGACCCAAAGCACTCGAGGAATCGGCGCGCAACACTAGATCAACTCAGCAACTTGTAGCAAACAGTCTGCATAGCAAATGTAACTCACGTTGCCATCGGATTCGTAGCAGCATGGCGACACACACAAAGTCTATGAGTTCGGGTCGTAACCCTTCTGCAAAAAGGCGATCCCATATGAGAAGAACATCTTGGAAAGCGAACTCTCGACCAAACAGTAGACGCATCCAACGCCTTCTGAAGATTAACATTGCAATCCGAGAGTTGCGTAGCGAGTTGTACTTACGTGAGGAATATCTGCGGTAAGATTTCAAGGGCTTGCAGATGATCCGCCAGCTCCAAATCCGCAGTTACCAACAAATCATTATGAATGCGGTGGCATTGGTGAACGATCGGTATCACATCCGCCTGGCCATTCTCTGACCGGTGTCTATTATGCTCATAATACACGCGAACATTCTGCATAATCGAGCAAAATAATGTAAAAGAGTCGTGCTCCACATAATCGGCATGGAGAAGAGTATGCATCAGGTCATCATCAGCTTCTTTGGTGCTAGACTCTTGCAGTGACTTTGGCTCGATGGCGTCTCTATCAATGACCCAAAGGAGTGGAGCCAGGATCTCATGCATGCCTTGACGATAGCCCAAGTCGGGATTCAGTTTTGAGTAGATGAACAAGATGTCGATCATTTTAGACTTGGTGGAGGGCTCGCGAAAGAAGAAGTTTTCCTGTAAACATCGGTCGACGTCCTGGGCGATATCCGCCCTCGACTGCTCGTCATCACGTAACGTTTGCCATGGTGACTTTACAAAGACCTCTCATCAGCTGATGAAGTCTTCCGCCAAAGACAGCGTAGCCAGAGATAACATACCGCTTCATCATCCGCCAGCGGATCAACTGTCGACTGCAAGTCGTCTGGATGTTCGATGTATTTCAAGAAATGGGCTTTCAGGGCGACATAAACACTTCGCGAATCGGCGATCTTCTGCGGCCATTGCGCTCGGTCGAGATCATCGAAAAGCAGAAACGCCTACGCTCAGGTAAGCACGATGACCAGGTCATAATGGCCACAAGCGCATGCCTTCCAGCAAATAGACCTCAATCCATCCTCGCACAATTTATCTCCTTGTTCCGACCGAAGGGCAGTCCGAATATCGGCGGGGTGGTTGTTGTCGCGAAAGAAGGTATTCCATCGTTGCCTGGCCGATACGTTAGCTGCATCTGTGCTGCAGATGGGGGACTGATGCATGGATATACCTTGTCTCCTCAATGCCCCTCATTTCACCAGATGGCTGCTTGCCGGAATGAGTTGCCTGCCTCGTGTTTGGCTAGCGCTTGGAGGAGTGAGGGGACAGAAACACGGTGCCGCCCGCAATTTAAGTACTAGCGGCGATCGTGTGGAGGAGCTGCTAGTGGACCGCCTTGGAACTTCCCTGGCTCAGCAGCCACACTTCCGGTCACGCTTTCTCTATCTGTCCGCCGGGGAGTTGTCTAGTTTGGGGTTGGAGGCGCTCATCGCTTTGGATATAGAGCTTGAAGGAAGTTCAAGGCGTTGCTTTCATTTGCTCCTCGACCTTTGCGACACACATATTGTTAAACGTGTTCTCGTTCTTCAAGCCGCAAATCTCCTATTACTACTACTGTGCATCCGCCTTATCTCCCGTCAATATAATTATATAGTCTCTCACTACTATCATATACAACATTATGTCTGCAGATCTCTTTGCGGAGTTCGGTATGGGGGCTGCTCCGCCTCCATCCCAGAGAGGTTCAAGCCAGCAGTCCGCCGGGTTCCAGTCGACCTCTTTAATCCCTGACTTGGATGCATTTGAAGAATCTTTCACCGGTCCTTCATCCATCCCGAACAAAAAAGCAACGAAATCGCTTCAATTCGACGACAGCTGGGACGACTCAGCTTTCAAGGCGCCTAGTACATCAGGGCTGACCCAATACGGACCCGGAAATGATGTCTTATTTGACGCCACCCTTGAAAGTGTTCCGGATGATGAAAGCGATGACTGGGGCGAATTCGAGAGTGCAGACGTGCCTGCTACTAAACCACCAGCAAATGCCGGGTTACAGTCTCACAAGGTCATGAAGGAACCTAAGCCCACGCCAGTTGCGAAACAGCCGGCGCCTTCCAACTTATTAGATTCATTGTCATTAAGTGATGATATACCACCATCCTCTAAGCGAAAGCCCGCTGCGAAACGGATGGTACCTGAAGCACGCAAAAAGGAATTGCCAAGTCTCAAACCGGCTCTTTCTACCCAGGAAGACCCTTTCGAGGATTGGGGCGACTTTGTTGACGGTCCGCCTACAGTTCCCAGTCAAACAGGCACCTCAGGTGCTACAGCCTCAGTAACCCGGGCGCCTCGCAAGGAAGTGCAGCCTCCGAACTCTACGGTTGGTCCATCGAAAACAACAAGCTCTTTCCCAACATCTAGTCATCCTACAACAGCCGATCAAGTTCGTCCGACCAATATACCTCCGCCATCTGTTTTGCTTGAGCTATTTCCTCGGTTACTGGATGAACTTCGGCAAGATGCCACCAAAGCAAGAAAGGAAATGCAACAAAAGGAACAACTTGAGAAAACTGCAACTCTGATCATCTACACTCTAAAAACCGCCGCGCGGGTTGTTGCCGGCCGAAGCCTACGGTGGAAGCGGGACTCCATACTGAGTCAGAGCATGAGGATTGGCCCGGCTCGTTCAGGGAAGTCGGGAGGTATGAAGCTCAACACAGTGAACAAGAACGAAGATATCAAAGAAAAGCAACAAGCTGTTGATGTACTTTCCATGTGGCGCGACCGGACTGCAATCTTCAACTCCGTTGTACAAGCCACCAAACGACAACCAGTTCAGGTCATACAGGAGAATACTCGGGTAACGACACTTCCTGCTAGTCAGGGGGCTTTGAAGGCGCCTCACGCTTGTGCTCTATGTGGCCTAAAACGAGATGAAAGGCTGCCCAAAGTTGACGAACAAGTCGAGGATAGTTTCGGGGAATGGTGGACGGACCACTGGGGTCATACCGACTGCAGGCATTTCTGGGAGAGAAACAGGGGTCTACTCGGACAAAGGTAGACAGGACTTCGTACGCGCAATCAGCCGCACAAACGTCAGCTGACATGACGGACCACTTATACTTCCGGTGTTGAGCCAAACGCAGTTCTTGGCCAAGGCTAATAGTAGCTACACGGATGGACTCCTTCAAAAGTACGGAAGCTGCTGCTACCATTGGAGGGACCGGTGTCGTTGTGCTGGTAATGACTGGGTCATTTTCCAGATTCTGGACTTCTGCTGTAAATACTGGGACAAGGGATCTTCTGAACATAAGTATTCTAGCCATAGGATACTATGTAGATAGAATCAAGTGTATCGTGATGAAACATTTCCCGGAGCAACTTTGACACGGGGATGCACAATTAGTTTTGACATCAGAAGACGGCTATGAAGCAGGTAGCAGAAGGTTTCAAGCGCATGAACGACCAATATGACCTCTTTATCATAAATCCATGATAAGTATCGATGGATTTCTCCAGACACAGAAAACTTGAGGCATCACAAATGTGGACGTCGGAGAATATATAATGGGAAAGAGGGGCAAAGCTGACGCGTTGAATTATCTGGAATCGAGGCCAATAGACAAGCCTCACCAGCGTGCTATTTGCAGTATATTGACTGACAGAGGGTTAATATTGCTATACTGCATCGTGAGAGTGACTAGAATTCTGTTCAGTTAAGTGGTAGTATACTTCACATTTGATGTGAATGTACCGTGCAAACAGGTAGAGTTTCAGCTGTTTTGAACTCGTCAACTGTACTAAAACTATAGCCAGACTAGGGTTGCCAAGAATTCCGACTATCACATCAGGTGCATCTAGGTGAATCTAGCGTGGATTCGAAGTGTCACTAAACAGGTCATATTCTCTCACTGCGTACGGCAGAGACGGTATACTACGGTCAGTAAGTAGGCTGCCATTATCGGCTCAACCAGGCGGGTCGGTGATAACCGCGATAAGGACTGGGTATGGAGATAAAGTAGTCTGACGAAATCACCAGGACTATGCTAGCCACGGCAACAACAGCCAGGGGATGAAGATGAAAAGAAACGAGAGACCGAAGAGACTTTGGAACTAGCCAAGCTTACTCTAGCGGGTGGAGAGTATGATCCTAAAGGGAAATGTAGCGGGCGTCATGGGGCCTGGCTCCCTTTAATCCTGGTCCGATGCGGGGGTTCCCAGCTCCGGGAGCAGCTGCCCGATTACCACCTCCAACTCACCTCCTTCCATCTCACTGCTCAGCCATTTCCTGTGCCACACCATTCCTCCCCCCCAATCAGCTCACTCCTACCTATATCCTTACTCTGAATAGTCTAACCTTTTCCTTTAGTTTCTATCCCACTCTGTCGACCCTTCCCGCATCATTATCACCACCTGGCAGTGGCTGACCTGCCGTCTCCTCATTTGTCCTAGTCCCATCTCCGCTTATTCCCGACAAAGACGAGCCGCAGCTGCTTGTCACCACCCCCTCGAATACCTCCCATTCCCCTTGAGCTCAAGTGCAGTTCACCGGAAGGCTATATTATATTGGGGTTCGAAATCCCAGCACTAACTTCTACCTGTCAAGGCAACCTCCATTATCCGTCACAGGGTCCCCATTTCTTGGAGAACTACCGTACGAGCAACTTCAGCCCCTCTTGCAAAGAAAGCGAAGCCACAGCAGGACTTTGAACACGCCTTGCATCCTTTCTGCCCCTCTCTACTCCTATAAAGCGTCGGGCTCTCGTGATCTGGACACCTCCATCCTCTGGTGTATTCGAAGTTCACGTTTCAGGGCATCTCCTGTTCAGGTGGCTTTGGGAAGACAAGCACGATCAGGACACAATGGGTCTGGCATACAACATCTATCTTACTTCAAACAAAATCTTCGGGTGTAAGCAATGCAAAACTCATCTCGCTGACTACGACGATATCATAAGCCGGGTAAGTTGTGATTTTGCTATGGCATATTCCCAACACTTACTAACCATGTATCTTCACCATTATCCAGAATTTCCGCGGCCAGCATGGCAAAGCATACCTCTTCGGCAATGTCGTCAACATCACCTCGTCTGAAGCGGTGGAGCGTAGCATGACCACCGGAAGGCATATTGTCCGTGATATTCACTGCAGGCAGTGCAAGGAGACGGTGGGCTGGAAGTATGACAAAGCATACGAGGCCAGTGAGAAGTATAAAGAGGGGAAATTTATACTGGAAGAAGAATTGCTGTGCGTGGTGTGCTAGGTACTTTGATGTGTGCCGGGGTGTCCATCTTCTTTCCAGGGATATTGATGACGTAGCATGCTGGTTTCACATGCAAGACACCTGGGCGAAGGTCTACAGACTAGACCTGCGAAGGGCTGATACTTATAGTGAGCGTTTTCTTTGTTATATTTGTCGTGGCGCAATGTGTATGGCGTTGGATGGAGTACCGCTTCCTTGATGCGCAAGGAGTTCACCGCAGAACTGGAGCAATCGGTGGACCTGATTTCAATGCATAGCAGAAGCCCAGCTTTCCAGAACACCCCTTGAATGAATCTTTGCTCATGCTGATCCTTCTTGCCGATAGCTTTATAAATGATACTTACTGCGACCTGAACCGTTAATGCCCATGTCCCCAACTCTGGTCGCGAAGTGGGGACATTCTCGGCGAGAAATCCGAGCATCGCTTGGAGCACACCGTACAAGAACAGTGCCTATTACTGATGTTATAGACGAATCAAATAGATGTTAGACTGATAAATTTGCATGGCAAACCATGCAGAGGTTGAATGACGGACATAGGAACCGAAAAATCGGTCCAACTGTAGACTAGATACGATATGTAACCATATTATCTCCTCAACATCCCCCCGGAATCCTACTACAAGGACCTCCTGAATCTATGTGATAAGAAATCCCACTAGGCACTAATGATCCAAAATCCCTCACCTCAAGTCAAGTAAGGACCCGGGTGGAATCCGAACACTGCTACTATCACTATATCATGAGTACTTAAATCCGCGGGGACCCCGGCCGTCAAAGAACTACTACTAAGTACCTGTCTCACCCCCCACTAATCATCTTCTTTTGCTCTACTACTACCTTATACTACTAGATTACCTATCTACTTACTACATGAATATACAATGATCACGATTTCATCCTATATATACTACCCCTCTACTCCAACACCCTCTATCCCCATCATGCCAGCAGCCCAGTTCGCCGCCATCCGCGGTCGCTCACAACTCCGAAGGCGAAGGGAATGGACCCACCAACGCCTCCCTCCGACCTTTCATTTTCCTCTCTCATGGGACTGAGGGGCGGGAAAATAAGTGTAATAATCTGGCGGGGTGTGTCCGTTTATCGGATGCGTGAATTCTGAGAATTTTCTTCTTATTTTATTCTTTTCTTCTCTCTTTCTTTGAAAGAGACTTAAGCTGTGAACAAGATACATACGACCCAATTCTTCTTGATTTTCAAAAATTGGATCCCTCAGAAAGACGCCGAGAAGGTAATAAATCATGTCTGCGGAAAACACTATGCGCGCGGTGGTCTTCCGCGGCCCTTATAAGGTCGCTGTTGAGGAGCGCCCCGTGCCTCGGATTCAGGATGCGGGGGATATTTTGGTTAAGGTGACTTATACGGCGCTTTGTGGGAGGTTGGTCCCTTTTGTCTTCTTCTTGGAGGGGAGAGGCTGATTGATTGGTACTTTGTAGTGACCTTCATGTGTACCGTGGCATAGAGCCCTCGGGGACGGGCTATGTGATGGGCCATGAAGTTACTGGTGTGGTAGTCGAGACGGGCGATGCTGTGCAGTCTGTCCAGAAGGGGGATAAGGTCGTGAGTGCTTTTACGACGTCTTGGTAGGGTGATCTAATTTGTCTTTGTCTTTCCCCCTCTGCAGGAGGGACTTGGTTTGATGATCGCTGCAGGCGTTTATACTAATGCATGCATGCTGCCTCTTATAGCGGGAAGTGTTACTACTGCAAACAAGGATACTCGTCCCGTTGCGAACAGAACATGCTTCTGGGTTGCGACCATCTGGATGGTGCTCAGGCCGAATATGTAAGTCTATCTTATCTCAACGTACGCCATGATGCCCGGAGCATGTGTCTAACGGTGATGGAACCTGCGCTCAGATTAGAATCCCCAATGCGGATGGATCGGTGGTCAAAGCCCCTGAGGGCGTCGACGAGAAGTACCTCGTCCTCATGGCGGATATCTTCCCGACTGGCTACTTCGCCGCGCGGAATGCATTCAAGACCTCTACTAAGGAGCAAATCGCAGAGCAGACGGTTGTCCTCATCGGCTGCGGGCCAGTCGGACTCTGTGCGTTGATCAATGCGCTGGAGTACAAGCCTAAGCATTTACTGGCGGTCGACTCCGTCCCTGCGCGTCTGGAACTTGCCAGGGAGCTGGGAGCTGAGCCCTGGAACTTCCTGACTGACCGGGAAGGCCTCGACAAGCGCGTCCTGGAGTTGACGGAGGGACGTGGTGCTGATGCTGTCATTGAGGTGGTGGGATTGAGTCCGGCGCTGAAGACTGGTTATGATCTGCTGCGGCCGTTCGGCACCATTAGCAGTGTTGGTGTGCACAATGGAGAGGTGAGTGATGTTTCGAGTCCTTTGTGAAGTCTGCATATTGATTGGAGATATTGTCAGATCCCGTGGAATGGATGTGAGGCCTATGGAAAGAACCTCACGGTCCAGATGGGCCGGTGCCCTGTGCGGTCCGTTTCGGAAGAGGCGTTGGAAGTTCTGAAGAAGAACCAGCATCGTCTTGGGTATGTCACTCTTTCTAAATATTGATTTTGTGGATTTTTTGGTGTTTGCAAATGCTGACGAATGCGTGGTAATAGCTTCATGGCCGACAAGATCATGCCCCTGTCGCAGGCGGTTGAGGCGTATGAGATTTTCAACGCCATGAAGGTGCAAAAGGTGATTTTCGAGGCGGACAAATAGAATAAGAATGGCATCTCGCTGGACCAATGAAGATAAGGAGCGCTTGAATTCTTTACATGACATGCAGTCTGGTCAAAAATGTCCATTTATTATTATGTGGTGGTAGTAATCAAGGATACCAGGCGAGCGTCAGCCACAGCAGTACAGCACCAGCATCCCAACCAACGCGACGAGAAGACCAATTGGGGAATTTTCCTGGAGTAGAAGTAAAATAGATAGATCACACACAGCGTGAATGATGAATCTGGATTCGCGCGAGCCAGCAGTGTGGCGGACATGAAAAGACAGCAGGCATAGCCCTTGTTGATTGATTCCCGCACGAGTGAACCGAAAAACGAAACTAAGCCCGAAGGTGTCGCATCAGCGCCGACTGACTGACTGAGTGAGTGACTGCTTTCTTTCGCTCCTCTTCCTCTTCCTCTTCTCTTCTTCTTCCTCCTCTCTTTTCCTTCTTCCACCTTTTCCTTCTTTGCTCGCTTCCCACCACTTCCTCTCCGCTTCCCATCTCTCCCTCCTCCCTCCCTCCTCATTTCCCTCTGCTTCTTTCTCCCTCTTCTTCCTCTCCATTCTTCCATCCTCCTTTCCTCCTCTTCTTCCTCCCTCCACCTCTTCCTCCTCTTTCTCCTTCCCTTCTTCCTTCCGACGCCCCTTCGTCTCCCCTCCCCATCTCCCAAATCCCTCCACCTTTTCCCCCGCCCGCCGAAAACCCCTCTGAATCCCATCCTCTTCGCCCCCCTCTCCGGCCACCCAATCGACTTCCTGCTTCCCGTCCCGGATTTCGCAGATTAATCTTCATCTCTTCGGATTTTCATCGTCTTTCTGCTTCACTTTACGACTTTAGGTAAGAGCCTCATGTTCTCCACTCCAATCCTGCGCGCCACCTCATTTGCCTCTTTCCTTGTGTTATCCCTTTACCGTGACATCTCGCGAAAATCATCACTCCCCTCCCGTGTGCCAACACTAATTCGTGGGAAAAGTTCCGTCAACGAAAAACCTTACCTTTTCTATCCCCAGATTTTTTCTATCGCCCAAACCTCACCATTCCTCTTTCTACCGACATAATGGACCCTACCGAGTTGCACGATACCACCATGGTTGACGAGACCTCCCCGAACAACGTCGACATGATTGACGATGTCGACATTGAGACGACGCCCAAGACCGAGGAGGAGTACGCTCAGTCCATGCTGACTCTTCGCGCCATCGTTTCGTCCAAGGAAGCCGGCATCATCATCGGCAAGTCTGGCAAGAACGTTGCTGACCTGCGTGACGAAACCGGCGTCAAGGCTGGTGTGAGCAAGGTTGTTCCTGGTGTTCACGACCGCGTCTTGACCGTCACTGGTCCTCTGAACGGCACTGCCAGAGCCTATGCTTTGGTTGCCAAGGGTTTGCTCGAGGGCGCCCCTCAGATGGGCATGGGTGGCATTGTGTCCAACAATGGAACTCACCGTAAGTCATCCAAGTTTTTCTACTAAACAACTGCTTGCTAGTTACATGAAACTGACTCTTGTGTAGCCGTTCGGCTTTTGATCTCTCACAACCAGATGGGTACCATCATCGGACGCCAAGGTCTCAAGATCAAGCACATCCAGGATGCGTCGGGCGTGCGCATGGTCGCGCAGAAGGAAATGCTCCCCCAGTCGACCGAGCGTATCGTCGAAGTGCAGGGCACCCCCGAGGGTATCGAGAAGGCCGTCTGGGAGATCGGAAAGTGCCTGATTGACGACTGGCAGCGCGGTACCGGTACTATCCTGTACAACCCCGCCGTCCGTGCGTCTGTTGGAACTACCCCTAGCACCAGCACCATGAACCAGAGCGTCGGCAATGGCTACAACAGCCGTCCTTACAACCGCACCGGTAACGGTGCCGACTTCAGCGACCAGTCCGGTGGCTACGGCAGGCGATCCAACCCCGACACCAGCAACCGTGGTTACCCGCTTGTCACCGAAGATGGCGAGGAAATCCAAACACAGAACATCAGCATCCCCGCTGACATGGTTGGCTGCATCATTGGCAGAGGTGGTAGCAAGATCACCGAGATCCGCAGGAGCTCTGGAGCCCGGATCTCCATCGCCAAGGCTCCCCATGACGAGACGGGCGAACGCATGTTCACCATCATGGGTAGCGCTCAGGCGAACGAGAAGGCTCTTTACCTTCTGTACGAGAACCTCGAGGCTGAGAAGACCCGCCGCAGCCAGCTTCAGGAGTAAACGACCAGCACAGCTTCGCCCTCTCTTCACCCGCTCGACCCTCGATGAACATTCTTCCCGAAAAATTCTAGTCGCGCGATAACCACTGCCCCCTCTTGTGCTACTCCTTTTTGATTCTTGATGCTGTCGTTTTCTCATACTATCATATTCTCTGTTACTCTATAATTTCTCTCGTATGTGGAGCTTCTTGGGCTTTGCAAGAAGCCAGAGCCTGCTGAGGCGGACCATGCATGCCTGTTAGATACCAGTACTATCTCCTTGAATGAACCGCACTCGGAACCAACGACATCATGTCCTCCCACTGATGTTCCTGACTTCTCCCTTCTTGCCCGCCCGTTTCGTTCCGTATCCTACCTAGTCTTGCCTTTCCATCACCGTTGATTGAAAAGTTGCTCTCTTCCTTATTATCCGAAACCTCAAACCTACAATGAAACTGGGATCCGCCCCCCTCATACAACTCGCAATCTTTTCCACACCGTCCCCCTACTCGCACTGCCTTTGTTCCGTTCCACTGATCCTCTCTTCTTTTCTTGTCGAGCAACTATCCTCACTTACCTGTCACATGAAACATCTAAACCCAGGAGGGGCTACCCAGCTGTGTTTTTCCCTTATTATCTGCAAGGGTCCCTTTCAAATTTCATCTCCGGGCTTCTCAGGCATGTACAATCAGGGACCAGGACTATCGATACTACAAAATGAAATGAAAACCTAGTGTGATGGAACATGACCATTCTTTATTCCTGTATGCCACTGAGCAGTAGACGTAGATTTATCACTCTTACCTATCAGTGCTATCAACGAAAATCCCCTCTTCACTCTCCCAATAACTAAGAACAGACACATAACGTCATCCCACAGAATAAGCAAGATCAGTCACCTGACCACCACACCCCCCCGACGATCATCTGATATCCCAGTTACGTTGCAGAAACTTGAAGAAGAAAATGAGACCACATGATCATCTGACCTGACCTCAGACGAACCGAACCAAAAATGACCGAGCCCGTCCGTCGATCATCAGTTGACTGGCTGACTGATTGAAACTAACTAGTAACTTACAGTACGTAGTAAGTAGTTTTTAGTACCTAACTAACCTACCTAGGTAGTAACTAGTTAATAGTCGATCGATCGATCTACAGGAAATTGTCCGGCATGGGTTGTGTGCCATAATTAGTATCAGTTTGGATGGATGGATGGATGGATTGATAGATATGCATAGTACTACAGAGCATGGATATTTATTCTTTACTAAGTACTTAGTGGTAATGGTAGTAGTAGTAGTAATTCGGATTGGTTCAATCGAAAACACGAAACACTTACTACTATGTACCAACTATGTAGTGATAATACGAACTGTATAGAAGGGGTTCTCTGAATATACTACTAATCAGCTACCTGGGTTATCTACGGTTTACTTGTGGCAGGCTACGCAGTATTGGGGAAGCAAGAGATGCCAAAATGAGGTCGTATTCATCATGTATTGACAGGAACAGAAGGAAAGTAAAATAAGAAACAAGAAAAATCGTAGGAATAACATACTCCTTCTGTGAGATCAAAAAGAAGGAAAAATGAACAGATAGCAATGAGAGACAATGAAAGGATGTGTACGTATGTATAGGAAAGAAGACAAGACAAATAATACCACCGAAGCACCAGGTCCAACAACACTCCGTTCATCATTCGGGAGAAATAGGAAAAGATATTAACGCGTGTCATCACCGCAAAGCCGAATATTTGTACATGAATAGATAAAATGGTAGGAAAGATGAACGAGTATCAATGACAGTGAGAAAAGAATAGGGTGATGACAAGACAAACAGATCGTGAATCCCGTTACTTATTGAGCTTGTGCCGTGTCGTAGTCATACCCTCTTTTGGGGTTGACTTGGGCAGCAAACAAGAATTTGTATGGATATGTAAAAAAAAAAAAAAAAAAAAAAAATAGAAACACAATGGTCCGTGAGGGTCGCTTGAACGGAATGATAAGCTCGTACAATGCATTGAGTTCAAGAATGCATGCATGTGTTTTGGTTTGTTTTTGCAAGGGTCAGTCAGTCAAACAGGTCTTGAATCGGAAGTCCTCGTTAAAGATGCAGGCGGAAAGCGCTTCGTACACCTCGACACAATGTGTGCCTGGCAGGCCGCGGAATACAATGAAAACAAAGTAACGCCGGCTGAACTGAAAATAATACCAAGATTGAGTCGCTGCGTTATAAGGTAGGTGGAGGGCGTAAACGACGTGGAGTTTTTTGGAGATAACGGACGCAAACATTTAGTCAACGCGCTGATCGAGACCATTGACGGCCTCATCAGAAACGGCCATCGGCCGCTGCCGAAGACCAAATCGTCGCGCTCCAAGGCTATTCGCGCGCAGGCGGTTCTGCGCAATCGGTGTGTAGCTAGCAGCCAGCTTTTGCGATGGGGCGATGATTCTTGTCTGCGAAGGCTCCTGGCGAGGGGTAGTGGACATGGCGTCCTCGATTGGCATCTCACCACCGAGAGCGGCAGAGCCAATACCAGGAGACAGTCCATATCGACGTGAACCCGCCTGAATGTTGGAGCGGGATGTTGCGGGGACATAGCCGGGCGTTAATATGCTCCGACGGAGCGGGATCGCTGACTGCGAAAGTGTCGGGGTACGAGGTTGAGGGAGCTGCGACGGTTGGGATGGGGTTGAATATCTGACATTTCGCTCAGGACTGGAGTCGGCTATCGATTGCGACGCCGTGTATCCATGCGAAATCCGTTGCCGGGGCGAGACACGATATGTTGCTGCTGGGTTGGTGATGTCTGTCGTGCTTCTTTGAATTGATCGAGGCTGTGGACTCTGATCCGGCGCATTATCGTCATCGGTGTGCACCCTCTTCGTCCGCAACGAAGTTGAGAGTCGGCTCAATCGTCTCACAGGCGCCGAAGATCCAGGCGACTGTGTCAGTTTGGCATCTGGACCCTGATCAGTGCCCTTGTTGTTGTTTTGGTTGTCTGAAGCCGCGTTGTTCGCCATGCTAGCCCGACGTGCTTCTAAACGGCTGGTGACTCTGCTGTTGCTCTGCCGTCTGGAAAGGCTCTCTGGCTCCTGGATTGTGCTTCGGCGAAATGGAGGCGTAGGTGTAATAGTATCGTCGTCATCGTGGCCATTAATTTGTTGTTCATCCGCTTTTACCTCCAGGGCCGTGGACGGCTGCCGGCGAAGCTGATCATCAGATAGTGCGAGACACAGCTCAGTTAAGCTGCGGCATACACTGTCAGCCTTGCGCCTAGCTTGTCTGTCTGATGGAAGGTAGCCATTGACAATAGAAACACCGCCCGATGGGGCCTTGTTGGACGACAGTAGGGTAGACAGCGCAAGCGCATCGGTAACAGTGACTTCCAGGGCTGCGTAGACTTCGTTACCCAACACCTCCTTTGACTTGGTCAAGGCCGATTGTAAGAGAGGATGGACCGGACTCGGGGCCGCATTCTGGTCGAGATCGCCTGTTGCTATACTGGATTTGCGGCCGCGCTTCGGTGAGGATGACACCGTAGTAACCGTCGTGGTCGCAGTGCGTGGTCGGTCTCCGGATGCAGATGATATCGCCTCCTGGGATGAGGGCGGAAGCTTGCCCGTTAATTCTAGCTTCTTGATCCGCGATTTTAGATCCTCTAACTCGTCCCAGACAGTAGAAGGTGCGTTAGTCGACAAGGTTGACTCCGTCCCATCCTGACGGGACCGGTCGGGCTCGAATCGGGCGCGTTCCGTGGCCTCGGAGCTGGACGGTTGCCGACTGCTTCGGATAGTTGAAAGAGCGGAATGTCGATATGCTCGCGACTCGTGCAATGAACCCCGTCTTTCGAGATGCGATTCGGGGCTGTATGGGGAGGGTTCTGGACTGGTGCGACCCAATCGGCTTCGAGGGAGGCCAATGGTAGATCTTGAGCCAGAAGCATACGCCAAAGAGGAGGAACGGCTATGTTCATCCAGCGGATGGGCGGACGCCGAGTAAGAGTACAATGGTACAGAGGTGTGGGGGGTGGATGGAGGATCATTTTGGGAATGCAAGGGGTTGTCGTAGGTATTCAAGCGAAGTTGTTCCGGAGAAGGGGTCTGTTCGGCAACCCGAGAGGTTGGAGAACGCAGCGCACTACCGGACATTCTGAATCGCGACTGTAAGTTTGTTACAATGGCCTGGTCAGTCTACAAGATACCAATTTATTGACAGGAATCACAGGTCTGATGTTACTTACGCGCCGGAGTTCTGAGCGCCCCAGCGACTCACGACGGTCGGAGTCTGATCTTGCGATATTCAAAAATACATCCTCATTTTTGGAGCGAAAATCGTCCGCGACTGGGGTTCTGTTACCGTCTCCCTGACGATTCAGGCCGTTCATGGCGCGATTGCGCTCGTCAGCAAGCAATCTCCCTTGGGAGTATGTCACGGTGGATGATGGCATGATGCTCTTCACGTCCGAAATCGACTGCTCAGCGTAAAGGGACGACTTTCGACGCTTCGTTGCATTGGGACTCAACACACGGACGGTCGAGTTGGCGTCCAGGGGCCGCGCGGCGTCGCTATCCTTTTCTAGGGCCCGTCGCGGCGACGGTGGTTGCGAATTGAGCAGCGCCTGATCGCGAAGGTGGGACAGATGGAAGTTGGGGACGGAGCGCCGGGGGCTGTCATACAAGGAAGTGCGCTGGGGAGTAGGGGACGGGTCGGGACCCGGGGGCGTGTCGTCGCCGTTCAGCACAGAGGCGGCCGCGCTGAGGTGCGACGTCAGGGCTCGCTTGCGCAGGGGATACTGATATTCGAAGCTGAAACGGCTCTGCGGGAGGCGAGGGACGGGCGGAACGGAAGAGGAAGAGGAGGAGGAGGAGGAGGAGGAGGAGGGGAGATGCGACGCAACGGGGGTGGAAGCCGACGGCGAAGGAGAGGCAAAGGAAGCACTGGGTGTTGTTGTTGTCGGTGCTGAAGGAGAGTCGCTGGCGCCGGCGGATGGGCTTGTTAGCGCGGCTGCTTTGCCCG